AGTACGGAGGTGGTGGCGGCGGTGCACAAACGAATTCATTTAGTGGAGCTAATAATTCTGGCACGAATGCCGGTGCTAATGCAAATACATATGAACAAACTCAAAAACCGTTTATTTGGGCAAAATAATGTAAAAATATTTTAAACGCCAACATTACACTTTTAGAAATTATATGAATATTAAACTTTGAAGAACGTGCAGAATGATTGATTTTTTTAAATAAAAAAAAACAAACAAATAAAATAAGTTTATGTTTTTTATATAATGAAAAAAGCACAAACTTTTGTTGAAATTAAAATTCTATTTGTGTGTGACCACTGGGTTGCTGCAAAACACGTATCACTGGCGCCCTCACTGTATTGCATAGTGAAACAGATCATTAGTACGTGTGTGAAATGTGCATATTTTTTCGCGCACGAACTAGATGGCGCTAACAACTAAGTGTCTTTGCAGCAATGGTGTGTGTGTGACCCCCCTTTTTCCGACGGGAAAAAAGTTCACTTTAGATTGCGTGACGGAGGTCAAATTAAATTCATTCAATTCACCAATAGATTTTTTGAGATTTCAATTAAACTTTCGTTTCGATGATGAAGTTTCGGTTGATCGGAATTGCTACCCATATTCCGCGCATAAAAAGTGCGAAATAATGATTGCGAAGCAAAACAAGTGTAAAATAAATATTTGAATACTTGCAATTGCTGTAGATTTGATGTCAGCCAATTTGAAATGGCAATTAGAAATTCAAATGTGACAAGAGAACGAAAATCTCCATCACATGATAAACGTTTGGGTCGATAAATCACTAGCTGCATTGCAAGGACATTGTTCGATGTCGCATGGCGCTAATTTTCACACATCAGTGACTAGAAAGAATCTCATCGATAACGAGATGAAAATAGAAAGATTTCATTTCAATTTTCCTGTTTGCAATTGAGTCGTACACATTGCATGTTTTTTTTATCAAATGAATAAAAATTAAACGTCTATTGTACTTGTTCACTGCATGAATCTCTCAATCTGACCATCTATCGCAAATGGCTGGCAAACTTAAGCTCAAAGAAATGTGAGTTTCGAACCAACAAACACATGCACAGTGATGTTGACGTTGCAATTTTGGTAGCTAAAGTTGACGCTATATAATGACAGCTAAATATGAGAAAAAAGGTCTCTGAAACAAGAGCCGGAATGTATGGATAACCAATTCAAAATATTCTTTTGCAGATTTTTGTGCATATTTTATCTATTGTTCTCATGAAAGCAGTACAACCTAATATAGTTTTTTGTACTGGGGCACTTTTGAAATGAACGCAAATGGATGAATTGATTGTTCGTTCTAAATGTAGTTCCACAGAAATTATTTAAAACGTAGTGTGAATGCAAAATGACTCAATTTTAGTATGTGCATCAATAACAAAATTAATAATATGAAGCCATAGTAATTAGTGCTCAAGACGAAATTGCTTGAAATACTGTTATGATGATGATGCTGTAACGATTGGAGAAAACTTCGTTTTCATGTCATTTCCATTTTGTTTGACGTCGCATTTAAAACTATTTCATTTTGCCTTGAAAACTTGATATAAATGATGCGAAAATTGCTTACATTATTTTTAGTCACGTTCGATTAACCTTCAGTTGTGCGCCTTCCATTGCATTTGCGATAAGATACCACGTAACAATCCCAATTCCGCAAACGTAAGCATTGAAAGCCCGAAATTTGTAGAAAAGTTAAAATTACTATACATATACATGTTGAAGTCTTCTTCAAGCGATGATATGACTACTGAGCAGAAGAAAATGTTGTAGTTTTAATGTGGACGAGTTGTATGAGAGATAACGCTTGAAAAATGTCACAGTCATTATTATTCCTGACAGTCATTTCAGCAACACATCATTTTGTCTGCGTGGAGAATTCATCTGTTTTTGTCGCACACATAAAACGTCTTACCATTCAATTTTGAATAAAATACGCTGTATCCAATATGGCAGCAATTTCTACAATTATGTATAAGAAATGTTGAGCAAACTGTTTACAAACGGTGTTTTCGACTTTAAAATGGAGTTTTTATCAATTGTTAGATGAAGATAGAAAGTGAGTATTGTAGAATTTGCATTGTTAAAAATGGCATCAAACTTTAAAAGATAACATTTACGATGTAATTTTCAAGTTTCAATTATTATAGTTAAAATGAACTTTCTCACGATTTCTTTGTGCAGTTAGTCGGTTCGATTTACATCGGCTTGCAAAAATCTTCTTCAATTTCTATGTAAATATCTTTCTTGTTCATTAAAAACTCTCCGCCGAAAAGACATTTCAAATTTTATGAATCCGTTCGTCTAGACAAAGTGTACTAGTAAATAAGGTGAAAAGTTACAAATCTGAATGGCGATTAACACCAGTCGTTTTTATGGAAAACAAAAATTGTTTGCAACATTTTTAACTTGTTATGAGCTGCTATTAGCCTTTTTAATTAGGAAAACGAAATTCTCTTCATTTTCTGTCGTTGCTGGCATTTCTTCTTCAACAGCTAAATTAACTGCGAAAACAACACAAACACTATTTTATTAATAAATTTAATCGAAAAAGTTTGATGGCTCTTTCTCTCTCTCTCTCTCTCTCTCTCTCTCTCTCTCAACTTTCAAATGATGCAATTGTTCAAAAAGTTTCGTCTAGCGAGTATTTTTTTCATGGGAAAGGCTAACAACTTGTTTATACTGAATGACATGAAAAAGTTTTTTTTATAATAATTATTATGAGGGATATGATTTTGCTCTATTGAACTGTTTATTAATTTCAATAAACTGTAAATATTTGAATCATGGTTTGAATGATCATTTTTGAAATGATATTGACTTTTGTAGCAGATGATATTAAAGACTTATCATCTACGTCATCATTAAGAAAGTTATTTCGTCACTAGCATTTATGTTCCAATTACATTTTTGTAGGCCAATTTCTTTCTTTATGTGAGTATGTCTAAAAGGTCCTTAATTTCAAGGCACGCATCAAAAACTAAATGTATATAAAAGTGACATCAAATCTATATACAAACATAGAGCCGAAAAAGGTCAAATCTAATTTGTGGGCAATAAAATAGGTCAATACATTAAGACGTGAAAGTTTTGCAGCATGATTCGGTGGGTTGCTACGAAATATAGAGTTATAAGTTTATATAGAGAAATGAAGGTAAAAGTAAAAGTTGCTGCAAAAAACTTTGTTTGCAATGGCCTGCCAGCATAAAAACGGATATCTCAAGTGTACACACACACTCCAATAGAACACAAACAAACAGATCGTTGGGCAAATTCGTCTACAATGACGAAAAACAATAATGGTCCCGAATTGAAAAAAGAATTTTCAAAGTTAAAAGTATGGTCAAAGCCATTTTACGTAGACGCATTAGCAGATGCGTTTGACGATTTATAATGAAATTCTTTGCATTTGATTTCTCTCATTTAAAATCTTTCTCTTTCTCTCTCGATATTACCTTTGATGTAATTTTCAGAAACAAAAATTTGATGGGAAAACATTGATTGTTTAAAGCATTTTGTTTCTTCTTAGCTTAGTTTATGGTTTCTTACTATTTAATTTTTTTTATAAAGCTAATTTCGTGTATATTCAAATTGCAAATAAAGACAACAAAGAGAGACTTCTGTACTTTTGAAGGTGGTAAAAATTGGCAGAACAATGTCAAAAGATACAACCAATTTGAAAGCGATTTAATTTATGTCTTTCGAATACCACGTGTACGCTGCAGACATACAATATATATATCTATGCATTAACCGAGTCATTTTCCATTGATACACCAATGTTCAATGTGAAATGTGTGAGTATGTACCCCAAAAGCACAAAATGACACAGTGTGTCGCTACGGGTATGGATCGAAAATATTTATTGAGTTTGAAATGAAGGTACGAAGCTTTGTCGTGAAACAAGAAGAAGAAACATTTTTGTTGCAGTATATAATGGGGGTACGAGTAATCGGTGTTCGTTCAAGCATTGCTCTCATAAAATCAGATAGAAGTTTTTAGAACCGCAAACATCTGGCTTGATGTGGTTGATTTCATACTTAGAATACACCGTGATGCATTACAATGTTAATGCATAATCAGCAAGTGCCAATGTAACGGGAACATGCGTTGTGTAGTAAAAGTACGTTCATGTTTACACGGAGTGCTGGTAAAACAATTGCACGTCGTTGTATCGAATATATCGCACATGACTGATCCATAAAATATTAATATTGAATCCCTCCTAGCCTGTCTGCGTTGCGTACCTATAGCAATCGCGGGAAATATGCCAAAAATATGACGATGGCATCGATGTAGAAAATTTCAGTATTTGCAAAACAAGCTACATTTGCCTGATGTTCTGTCTGCAAGAAGGACTCGCATTTTCAACGCATAGCAAAACATGCAAGATTACAATGAGAATGTATGTACAGGTGTTACACTTCCAGTTGAATTTTAAATGCAATTTGCCGCGTATAATTCAAATGCTCTTCCTGTTGCCGCTTCAAATTATGCTGGATTGGCTGAGATCAGATAAAATTGTATATTTCAACACGTCAAACTACTGATACGTGTTTCAAACCGAATACGTATACTGTTCACATTTTCGCCACGAAATTTCAACAACGTCTGACCATTCATTAAATTTTGAAGAGCAACACATTCTGCTCATTATGCAATGCAAACACACATACACGCATACTGAGAGAACATAGGGTTGAGACCTTAATTCGTGTTATCGGACTTTTCATCTCATATTTACTTTGAATAATTGTGGTTTTTTGAAGTTGAAATTCGAGCATCCGAAACAACAACGCCGGAGACACTTTTGTCATTGGGGTGACATGACTAGTATTCTCTGACTGGGAATATCTATTATACGTACCGAATATTTGAATTTATCCTCTTACACATTTGCCGCACGATACGCACTTCATTGAAGCAGGCATTCTTTGGGCACCTCATTGCAGCTA